CAGAGCAGCCAAGCCCGGATCTCGAAGGGGCTCTCCTTCCCACGCACGCTGTGGCACTAGGTGGCACTCGCAGCATCCCACACCCGCGTTCCCGGAATAATCAGCACTCGGCCTGTTAGCTGGGGCCAAATAAACGCTTTAACAACTTGATTGTTAACCACAGTAATAAGCAATTTTAGGAGAATCGCTGCAATTATAGACTGAGCTGGGTGAAAAGCTATAGGCTACTTAAAAATAACGACTCTACCCAGCCAAAGGCACAGTTGGGAATTCTGCTTATCATCAATTAGCGGCTGCTTTGCCAACAAAGGACAATGCTGAGCCCAAAACACAATACTTCCCAGATGGCTGGGCCACAACAAATTAAAGTTGCAGCCCTGATGAAGCAAGAGTTGTTTAAACACAGGAAGCTTTTTGGAATTAACTCTGTCCTACTCCTCCAAAAGGAACACCTCCCCCGCAGCTCGGAAAACTCAGGAAGAAAATATTCCGGGGATGTTGCTCCCGAGCCACGCGTGCTCCTCAGCCACACGAGGCAATACCAGCCCGCTGCCCACCTCCCCACAACCTTGGGGAACCGCCACATCCTCGGCCGTGGCTCACGGACCGGTACCACCCTGGGCAGAGCATCTTGTGTGATGTGACACGCAGCCCCTCTCCAAACCCAGCAGAGGTTTGCTAACGGAGGGAATTCAGGACACCCCTCCCACACACAGCCTGCAACGAGAGGGCTCCGAGAGCTAGAAATTTATGCCACAGCTTGAAAATATGCTTGGTTACACAGCAAGGGAATGCAAAGGTCTTCTGCGCAGGACACACTCCCACAGAGGCCGTCACCGCAAACATGCTGCCCCGAAATCCGGCCCTGACAGTGAGCAGGACAACCGCTTCTCCCTCGCTTCCTGCCTGGCCACTGCAGTCTTCAGACCAGACCAGCCTCCACCACAGCCTCCTGACCAGCCGTACCTTTGCTCCGTCAGAATCTCCAGGACATTCTCGGCTAGCCAGATATTCTTCGCCGTCACATCCCCGCCTGGAAGCGAAAGAGCAACAGGAAAAAGCCAGTCAGATGAACCAGTGCAGTTCTGCTGCCAGACTCAACAGAACCACCGACCGCTTCGATCCCCAGTAAGGCAGAGCTCATTATGGAGTTTGCTCCCTGCCTGGAGAATAACCCCTGCCTGGTCCCACTCTGCCTGCCACACAAGCTCGGCTGCCCCTAGATGCAGCACGTTCCTAGGGACAGGCGCCCTTCTCTCAGGGGTCTTTGCTGCAATAGGATTCTTGCCAAAGAGCAGAGATAATCACAGAGCGGTTTGGGTTGGAAGTGACATCAAAGCCCCTCCAGTCCCTCCCCCTGCCACGGGCAGGGACACCTTCCACAGCCCAGGTTGCTCCAAGCCTCATCCAGCCTGGCCTTGGACACTCCCAGGGATGGGGCATCCACAGCTTCTCTGGGAACCTGTCCCAGTGCTCCCACCCTCTGTGGGAAGAATTCCTTCCTGATAGATCTCAATCTCCTCACTTTCAGTTTAAAGCCATTCCCCCTTGTCCTATACGGAGTCAGTAATTATCCTTCTGGAAAGCAAAGGAGAAGCCAGAAAGGGATGAGATTCACTAGCTGGAAAAGAGAAAACATTTGTAACCACTGAGCCTGCAAAGGGGAAACCGTGTCTGCAAAGAACGCCCGAGCTCAAACAAAGGCCACGTGTCAAACTGGCGTCTCACGCCCTCAGCGCGGGCCTTCGGCACAAAGCTGGAGCCTTCAGCTCACGTCGCCGGGAGCAGAGCAGGGCTCCCGCTCGCAGGGGCGCAGAAAATGCCTAAAGCAGGCAAGCCAAAACAATGGGATCATAACAATTAAGGCATCGTAAAAATGGGTGAGAAGTGAGAGCGCGGCGTCCTTCCGGAACAGAAGGGGCCCTGAGCGGGGAGGTGCAACCCAGGGGAAACAAGGGATGCCTTCAGCAGGCGTTTGTCAAATGTTCTGTGTTTACACTGGGACAAGAGGGCCAGGGCAGCTTGGCTCGTGCTCAGGACTGTGTCCTCCCGCCCCGTTCTTCCTCCCCCGGAGAGCAGACACGGCAATTTCCAACCCCGGCTGCCCAACCCAGTGTCACAGGCGCACACAATAAAAACACAATGTCAGGTTTTATGGTGGGACATGAATTGCTCCTTCGTGGACGTCAGCGGCCGGCACCAGCGCCGAGTAGGGAACACGGAAGAGGCACCATTCCTGTGAATCCGGAAAGGCGTGTGCGGGTGTATGTGTGCATGGCCGGGGGTGCTTACACCCCAGGCTGGGGGGGGGACATGCTACAGGCTACCAGAGGGCCAGTGCCAGCTCCCTGGAGCTGGGACGAAGCAGCCTCCTGCCTCTCTGAGGGGTTACAGCAGAGCCATGTGCACGGCTCCTGCCATCCGAGAGGTCAGAGCAGGGATAAGGATGATCCTGGTGCTCTTGGCAGTGCTATGGGGTGAAAGCTGGCAGCAACAGGAAGCAACATACTTCCTGGCCATTCCAGCCTTTGCCAGAAGCCTCCTGGCTCCCTCTGTGATTCACCCCTCGTAGAGGCTCTTGGGAGCAGACTCTCAAAGGCTTATCCTCTGTTCCATCCTCCCTGGAGAGATTTCCTCACCAGACAGGTTGGGGCGGGCTTGGTGCCTGTCAGCTGGGTATGGAGACACTCAGGAAGCCTGTCAGGGCCTGGCTGTGCAGTAGCACAGGCTCTGGCTCTGACGCCAAGCGCGGCACGCCACGGCTCAGCCCTGGCACGCCAGCAACAGCACCCGGCCTGCTGACACGAGCAGGGGGGATGCAGGGGGGTGCAGGCAGCGCTCACCGCGCTCCTGTGGCACAACTCACCTGCGATCTGCTTCATGAAGGTCATGCAGACGCCATCCGCGCCGAGCACCCCGCTCTTCACCAGCTCCCGCAGCAACCACAGCAGCTGGGCAGAGGGAGAGATCAGCTTGTGCCACAGACCCCTGCCCAGTCCCTGGCTGCCTGGGCTGGCAAACGCCACCCCCTTTCCCTTCCAAAGGGGACGGAGCGAAGGAGCTCCACCGGTGCCCACTGTCCCCCACAATCCCCCTGCTCGTCCTCTGCCTGGCTGTTGGGAAAGGAGCGATTCGGGGGAGAAAACCTTCTCCTCACCTGGGTCCGACAGGTATCCTGCAGCTTCAGGTACTTCTCCATGAGAATGTGGTTGATCTTGTTGAGAACGATGTTCATGCCGTCGCGGCTCACCAGTGCCAAGTCTCGGTAGCACTGCGGCAGGGAAGAGTGGGAGATGGTTACGGATGAAGGACCCCAACGGAAAACAT